ATCATTATACATATGTACTTATATGTTGTATATATTTAATATAATAATACAAGTTTAATATACATATATATAATAACTAAAATAAAAATGCTATATTTGTTACTAATCTGTTGGCATTTAGAAATATAGTTTTATAAATATCGTTTCGCATACGTTAATCTTTTCGTGATTGAGATAAATGGTACTGTCAAGTGACTGAGTGAGATAGATCTTTATTTTGACTCCTGCAGCAAAACTTTCAATTATTCTTTTGTCAGATATAATTTATTTTATCTTTATAAAATCTGATTATATGGATAAAAATATTTAGTGTTCTAGAGTTTTACATTGGATAATTAAAGACAACTTCATTTTTTTTTAACATTTTTTTATTTTGTAAAAGAGTATATATGTGCAGTTGGGGGAAAAATTTAGTTTATATTATACAATGATAATTTTATACTGTGAATGTTTACGTAATTATTTCAAATCTTTGATAATACTAAATAGAGAGAAAATGTATAAAGAAATGTGTTTAAAAAATGTAATACATCGAAAAAAGAGAGAGAGAGAGAGAGAGAGAGAGAGAGAGAGAGAGAGAGAGAGAGAGAGAGAGATTAGATATATACAACCTTATTTTTGTAATTTTTTAAAAAGAGCTTCTCGGGAGTTAAACATCGCATATGTATATATGTATTTCATATAAATATGTTTGCGTTTGATTTTGCATACCATTTTGCATTTTATCTATAACTTTATTATCAGAAGCAACAGAAAAGATAAATGTTAAACATTCTGTTTATTTTATAAAGAAGATGTTTAAGTCTCTTGGGAACGATTCCCATTCTTTCTCCCCGTTTGTCGCATGAAAAACTCGTCGGTCGGAAGCCTGTTAAAAAATATTTGCTTCAGATTATACAGAGTTTTCTCGGTTTTACCTACACGTCGCAAACATTTTGCCAAGGGCTATCTACTTGTTGGAAGTATCTCGTAGCCGCTATCTAGCGGATATAGCAGCTAGAGTGTCCGCACTCGAAATAGTCGCTGGTACGTCGTGCCGCTTATCTTCAAAGTTTAATACCGGTATATTGATGGCACAGATATACGATGTTTAAATATTATAAAGCTCTCAGAGCTATCTGCAATCTGCAATTCCACTAGAATGACTTCAACGTTCGTGCACGGATATGACGCAAAGAACGATCGATCGCTACCGTTTTTCATTTATACTCATTTAATTTAATCCGAGAAATTTTTACGTTGTGACGCGAAGGTTTAATATCAGTTATACGAATATTTTTATATTATTTTTTAATATAGAGTATTTTAGGATTATTAAAAAATATTTTAGAGAATTTTAATATATATAATTTACGCAGCGTTATAGCATCATGATATGCTCATCGTTTTGTTGATTTGTTTCCATTGGGTAAATATTAATGTTTATTGCAGATTAATAAATACAAAACGTTGTGTGTTGATCAGAATTTTAGGCCACTCTGGGCTATAATGAAATCCTCACTGTACTTTGGAGGCCGCAAGACGAGATTAATGTTGGGGTATTAACGGCCTTAACGGCTAAACTACCCTCTAAATCTTTTCTAGATTCTATCCACGTGGATGTGTATAGCTCTTAAAATACTCTTGAGGTACAAAAAGGGGCGTAAAGAAAAAAATATGTGAAAATTATACATTTTCAAATTATTATAGTTGAATCTGTTCTCAAAGGCTACTCAATATTAAATATGAGTAAAATGTGTATTTAGATAAAGATTAATTTTAAAAACAAGCGTCAAAGTTCTTTAAAAATGAGCGTTATCTTTTTCTTAAATAGTTTTCTAAAAATAATAAAATTAAATAGCTTAAAGAAAACAGTCATATACTTTTAAACAGAGTCGTTTATATTAATTTGTTTTTAATATTTTTATACATTAACCCGTTGTTATAGATATTCTGATTAAAATCATTAAAAATGAACAACTTTTAATTACGTTAAAAGTCGTTTATTTTTAATGATTACGTTAAAAGTATATATATATATATATATTAGTTTTATTAAAAATAATTAAGTTTAACATAAAGAAATGACAGTATATATAATAAATACTATATTTTATTATTACTGTATTTAAAAAAAATTGTCATTTTTATGATGATTGTCCGCGCGGTTCCTTTTTTTATTGTTTTTGCGATTTCAAAAATATAGGAAGCTTTTGTGATATAAAGAGTATAATACTCATAAATTCTTCAAACGGGTAAAAACATTAAATAATTTTTATTGTATGTTATATGCATTATTCTCTTCTCCTATTCAATTGAAGAATACGAATCCTGCACTTATATTTTTTAGATTTTTTGCTCCTGATATCCTTCGCGTGAGGCGCTTTTTGATGGAGTGTTTTTCGCACTTTGACGAAATTCCGGAAACTTCGGATCGCGTGACATGGGCTAATTTATCACGACACATTCCGCGACCGCTTTCGGAATCGCTGCTCACTCGTTCGACATTTGTACGGTTCAATTCCGGTGTTCGACTCTTCGACTTTCCAAACCTGGGCAGGCCATGGCTATGCCTCAACGACTTTTCTCGCAAAGTTTACCCTCTATCTTTTGTTTGCTCAATCTATTTTTTCTCCCGCGAGAATATCACGCTCCGTTTCTCTTCATCTCGTCTCCGTTGTTCGATCTTATTTGTCGATCATAATATCTTGGAGAACACATGTCGTGATGATCCGCATTTCATCATGGTTTCGACAATCAAATTTTTTACGTGGAAAAATATCGAGTGCCTTGCATATTAATGAACATATGCAGTAATAGTACAGTCTATACGAATATAATTCTTTATTTATTTAGTTGTTTTTTTTTTTGCAAAATTATAATAGAACCAAAACTATGAATAATGATCCATAATAAAAATAATGATTCAAGAATACAATGTGCAAGATTCGCTTTAAATATGAAATTATTAAAAAAAGCAATGATTATAAATTATGAATTTAATCCATTTTTGTTTTAAGTTCATTGTATATGAAATTTTGTGTAATTATATTTTAAATACACCGGAATAAACGAGAATATGTCGATAATCTCCGTCTGAATGCGCTGGTATAGGTTCCTGAAATTGATCGATGTAACGTGCGAGGTTCACATGATGCACATGATCCTCGATGGATCCTACGGTCGGTGGCTTGACAAGAGAATCCGATAGCCGGGTCGCTGTCGATCAGCCCAAGAATTACTTAGCTCACGAGTTGATCCTAGTCTCGGGACTAAGGCTTTCCACGAAAATCTTAATGATTTGGTCATGTCTTCAACAGATAGGTTCATCTTCGAAGAGATACGGTAGCTTCCGACATTGTATTCGATTACTCCTTAAGAACATCCTCTGTATCTCTTGATAGAATGTTTTATCTAATTCCTATTTCAAGTCTCCTCTATATCTTGTAGAAAAAAAATTAACGATTAAAAGATAACTTAAATCTTGCTTAATAAGATTCCATAAAACATTTTTTGATGCATTGTAATTAATTTTTTTTTAAATTAAATAATAGATTAGTCTTTGACACTATTCTTTAATTTCCATATTTGAATATTCCTCTTTAACAATTAAATTCTACATCCTTGAAGGAAATAAAAGATCTATAAAAACAAAGTTTAATTAAAATTAATTGAGAGAGAATTATATTTTGTTGTTTATTTAAATTACGAAAATTTAATTTACAAAAATTTTTTAATTTTTAATATTAAGTAAGTTATAATTAATAGACGATTTCATACAATATGAGTATATATTTTATTTTGTAATTACTTAATATTTCCTATTATAAAATACTATTATTTATATTGTATACTTTCTAGTCTAGGGAATTATAGTTTGAGGCTTAAAAAAAGAAACATAAATTTTGAACAAGAAATTATTAAATTTAAATGAAAAGTTCTTTGTGATTTAATGGCATGAACAGCTCGCAAAGATTCCGCGTGATTTTTTAATCGATTTAAAAATTTTCTGCGAAAATGTCAGGATATATGCGAGAACTTTGTAGGAAGATAACGCAAGTATTGCGCGGTCGTAACGTTTCATGATTCTGCAAAGTAGAGAATGACGACAGTTCGTTCTATTGAAGCGCGTATTTGAGCTGGCTGAGTAATTCACAGAAGGATCATAGCGCATGTCACAGCGAATTAGCTCGAAGTATTGTGCGAATAACGCTGCCGTTGTTCTATTCACTGCTTACTGTATCGAGAAATATTGGCATTTTTGCCGCAGTTGCATCTTCCTTTTGTAATCGGAAAATGTACATCTGCATTTCGGAACGGTTAAGGAAAGGGAACATTTTGCTAAAATTTTTGTGAACTAATTTTTTAAAAGATATGATAGTCGATCTCTGATTCTTATATATAATTATCATATTTTTTAATTATAACTTTTTTCTCTTTCTTGAATTATTTTTATAGCAACTATTCCTTGATAAAAATTTGCTACGTGCAATATTTTCTGCTTGCTATTTAACGTTGTTATTGTAAATTATTATGAAAATTGTGATTATTGTCCAAAATCTGTATGCATTACGCTTTCGCACAATTCACTTTAGATTAGAGTAAAAATTATTCTATTTGCTTTAGATTACAGTGAAAATTACGATTATCCTTTGCATGTGGAAATAGGGAATATGTTAGAAATTCGTTAGAAGATCTTTAATTTATATTTCAAAATCAAAAATATGAGGGTCACATTTTATCTAAGAATTTCAAAAAATTACGATGTGAAAGTTTCAAAAGATATTGATATTATACATTTTTGATTTGTATTAATTTTATCTCAGTTTTTTACAATCTGTCGTCTTTCTATCAATAAATTATTAATATATTTAACATTTTGTGTATTGTAGTCATGCAGCTCATATTATTTTTTTTAATTTTTAATATTTTACTGTTTCTTAAGATAAATAAATGATATAATAAGGATTAAAAATAAGTTTAAAAAATTTATTTAATTATTTATTCAATTCAATTATTTAGATGAAAATTTAATGATAATGATCAAATCACAAGTAGATTGCATAATTATTGCATTAATTATATAAACTTAATGAATGCTGCAGATTTTTGAGATAAAAGGATAATATATTTTACAAAGATACATTAACACGCGCGCAAAACAATTTTAATACAAAATTTATATTATTTATCATAAAAAGCACGGATATTATTAACGTTATTGCCAATATTAGATTATTAAACTTATACCTTACATGGCGCGCCACTACATAAGCCGTTGTATAACTTCACAATATATCCTCTATCTAAACTATATTTGATATACATACATGCCTCCCTTTAACGGTAAATCCATTAATACTAAGTATAATCATACATTATATAAGTAGTTTCAGTTAACTTTTAAGTGCACTTTAATCGTCGGAATTAATCCGCCTATTTTTTTTTATAACTTTGATTTTCTTATCACACATGTAATTATAGAAGAATTAATTTCTTTAAATTTCTATACTTTTTATTTTACATTGTATGTAGAAATAAAGTCATCTACACACATATTTGTTATGTAATCGCACACAAAATTTTATAATACGAGTATAAGAATTGAATAATTTCAACAAGCTCTCGCGCAAAAGAAAATAAATCGACGACACTTTTTTTGTTGATTTGAGAATATTTAATTTTGAAGGGGTAAAGTTTGCTCTAATTGCGTTTGTTTTCAAGAAGGACGTTGTATTAAAAGTGTACGCGTGTACGAGTTTTAGACGTTTTCTTGTATTCCCACCGATATCTGGAATCATTTATTTCTATGATGATCAGCAGCAAGCAAATTTAATCATAAGTAAGAAAGCACAGCTGACTACCGTTTTGTTCAAACGACATTTTGAAAGAGCCAATTAAAAGTTATTCGGGTTATTGTGCGTGGAGTCGAGTTTGTAGGATTACGTAAAAGAAGAAGGAATAAGGGAGAAAGAGGGGAAAGGTACGCAAAATTAAACGGAGGAAAATTAATGAACTAAGAATGGCAGAAAAGGTGGAGGCGATAACAATTGAACTTTATATAATTAGCGATAATTATAGATGTTATGCGATTAACGAATTTTTTTATATAATAAACTCCATAAATATTATATTATTGAAACAATATGTTAGTAAAAGTGATAATAATTATAAAGATACGTAATTTTTAAAGATATCGTGCTATTTCCCTATAAACTCTATATAACAACAAATTAAAATATTTTGTAAAACGGAAGTATATATCAATTTTCTTTTATTTGGTATGCGCGAGAGAAAGAGGCTCCCGAAATGTTTAGTTTGTTGACAATTATACGTTTTGAGTTACACTTGAATAAAAACTAAATCACAGTATTATTGTTGTTATTCGCGTATATATACGTGGTATTCTGTATTGGCGAAAGAGGAAAAAACAATAACATGTACGCATGATATATACACATCTTATTCAAATACTAGAGTTAGTTGCTAAGGAGCGAGTGTCGAAATAACATCGTGGCTGAGTGACCGTAATAAACACGAGAATATAATTGCAGTATCAGAGTATCGTTGATTATTAATATCTCACTGTTCAGCGTCTCGCTCGCGGGTACTGTTGTGCGTGTGACACTTCTCAGCATTTTTATGCATTGTTGCGCTCCCGGAGCGCATCGAATGGACAGCTTGATTTTTCCCTGGAGCACCCAATCATTGATCGATGACGGGTGTGTGCCTGTCTCCGCTATGCCAGAGGTAAACAAAGAGAAAACAAAAAAGTGTCGTGTTGAAATTCTCTTTCCAAATCTCTCTTTTTCTCTCTCTCTTTCCGTAAATTATTTGTTTTTTTTTGTTTCTTGCAGTTGATTTCAGGGGATATTTACGATCAAAAATTGTTGTCATAAATTAGGAAAAATATTAATTACAACCATTTTCTTTTACGAAGATATTAAAAACTATATTATTTTGTGATACTTTAATTCTTTTTATAATCCGGATTTATTTATTTGATTTT